CTACCAAAGAAATTGGAAAAACATAGATTGTCTTTGTATTCCAATTTGAAGGAACTAACTTCCGTCACTATGTGAAATGGATAAATGTTTTGTTTGACAAAACATTGTTCTTTATTAATCAATGATTGGATTATGGTAATCTAATTAATTATCTCTATAATAGAGATAATATGGTGGTGTTAACTGTTTAGAAAATAATGATGCTTAAAACCCAAAAGGTTGCAAGGTAGTGACTAATCCCAACTAAAGTTGTGATACCTCTAAAACATAAATTACGAGTTGGTCATAAATGGACGCTTTGGATCGTTAGATCCGGATCCAATACCTTCTTGTTAAAATTGTATGGAGGCGAAATGTTCGAATCTTTATTCTTTTGGAAAGAAGAAAGAATCACAAAGTTGTTGAGGGTAATTCACTTAGATGTTAGTGGCACTTGTCCACAAACATAATACTACTCATGTTGGATAACATTCACCGAATATCACTCTCGGTTGGACTATAGTTTATTTTGAATAAACACAAGTCCGAATACTTTGCAAAATGTTTCAAAGAATTCAAGAAATGTAAGTTGATGAGTAAGACGTCTAAAGTAATTACCTCCTTAGATTTGATCCAAGGAAAAGGTAACACTTTAGATAAGTTTCCTTGAAAGATATCAAGGAAAATAGCATCATAAGATAATGTATTTCTCCATTAGGAGAAGAACGAACAAGAATAAGATTTAGTTCGTTAAATGTTATCTATTACCCATATATAGGATATATACTTCTAAAAACAATATGATTGTCAATGAGAAGATCTTCCAATATTTTCATGACTCCATAAGATGTAGTTGGAAAGAAAGACAAATCTTAAGCATGTTAAAGATTTGGGGTTGTGTGCTAACAAGCAATATTTGTTTGATAACAATCTTGTAGGATATCCTTAAAATAACTTTTGGATATCGCTTCTATAAACCAACTAACAAATGTTGTTTTGTTGGGTAGTTCATTGTAATTCTACAATGTGATTTGCCTAAAAGCAAATGAACGAGAGATAGAACTCGAAGAATGGGTTCTTTGAGAGACAAGGAAGTAATCAACAAATATAACAACCTAGTTCCTATACCACAAGCTCCAAGGTAGTCGATAAGGATTTATAAACCGTCTCAGTTGAATGGTTTTGAACTTTATGACTATGTCATAGAAGTTACACCTCTTACTTCGAAAGAAATAAGAATGAAAAATCCTTATGACTACATTGAGTGCATATACGATATATACTCAAGGAAATGGTAAAGTACCATTTGACTCGAAATAATGAAACCTTCAAAGCTAATTGGTAGCTTAAGGTGACTACAATCAAATAGAATGGTTGACTTTAAAGGAACCATTTTTGACGTAGTCTTAGTTTCAATAAATTCGAAGATTGCTAGCTACAACTAAATGGTGATTCAATGTTTTGACATAATATGGGTTTCCGAAACCATTATTAAGATAGTCTTGATAATATATGTGTAAAACTACTAATCACAAGACATGTAAGTTGTAGAGATCCATCCATCATGGATCTTAGCAAGTTAGTGGGAGCTATTTGCATTTTATGAGAAAAGGATCAAATCGTTTGATTTCTCATAAAGATGTAAATGAATCTTTTGTTTACTAGTTTTACAAAAGATTAGTGGGAGTTAATCATGTTCCTAAAATTTAAATATATATGATATATTAATTTTGGAAATGAAAAGAATACTTCTTCGTTAAAGTTATGACTTTAATACATTATATGAAGATAGAATGTATATGGGAGATAAAGTCTATATACAAGGGATGGAAATCTATAATGATATATTTCATGATATAATTGGATTATATCAATCCCTAATAATAGACAATGGATGCTAGGAAGTTTCTCATATGATGATAAACTTCAATAAGAAGGACGATTCTAGTGAGACTAGCAAGTTGCCCTTCTCAAAGGGAACGTACCCTTTGACTCCCAAAGAAATAATGCGTAAATATAATCCTTTATGCATACGCAGAAAGGTGATTTATGTATTTCATATTGTATGAAAAACATTGATATGAGTTGTACCTAGAACAGGTACAAGACGATATCAGTGCAAGCCCAGGATCAGAACCATGGCAACTGTCAAGTGAGTCCTTAAGTATTTAAGAAATATTAAAGGATAAATTCCTCAAAGAATGAGGAAGAATCAAAGTAACGTAATGGAAGCGTAAATGTATTAGATTATAAATCTAATCCATCATTGGATGTTTCTTCATTATGAATGAAGAGATAAACAGATATCTCTTTATTATGACTAAAGAGATATTTGGATGGAAACATTAAAGTAATGACTTTAGTGTGTTTCATTATGAATGCAAGATATATTGCCATATAGAAGTTTACAACAATGTTGTTTGGATGGGAAAGTTCATTTATGAACTCTCTATTCGGTTCCAACCAGAAAGTGTATGACACTAATGGGGCGATAGCTCAAGCCTGGGAATCAAGGTCTCATCAAGATCCGAACACAAATGAGAGACTGAACCACATGATTGAGAATCATGTATAATGGTGACGTCGTTATTCTCAAGGTTGCTTCTGTGGATAACACATATAGATATCCACTGCCTAGGCCTACTATTCAGCCATTTATGAAATGACTACAGAAGAGGTATCATCTAGATGACCAAGCTGATTGGCTCTAGTGCAAGTGGGAGATTGTTGGAAATGTGCCCTAAAGCCAATCATGTGATGATACTTTACGGACATTTCACATGTTAAACTAATCTGGTTTTACATATAAAGGGCAAAGATTATTGTTTGAGCCGTCTCATATAAATGTTATATGCTTAAACGATAAAGTCCAAGGAATATGTGATTGGGAGAATGTAATCTAATGAAGTTAGATTCTTGAGACCATTCTTTCGTAGACACATCCTAAATGTTCCTGATCATAGGATTGCCAATTGGGCGTTGACAGTCCGTTAAGATCAGTACGTACTATGTCTTCTCTCAGGGAGAGTGATTAGTCTCGAATCATTGGTGTGTGTGACATCAAGACAAGTGCGGTAGGTGCTCAATAGAGAATGAGTTCACTGAACGCGATCAACGAAGAGTTCTCATATTCCATGTCACATGAGAACTCATGGTTGGGATAATGCAAAGTAGTCCTTTGACCTGAGGCATCATAGTTGTCTTGTGGTTAAGACCTTGATCTTTGATTATGTCAAAGTCATCCCACCAGGAGGGTGTCCACGGCATCGTTGGGGTCAAGCCGCTTAGCTATGGAGACAAGTGAATGCGCAACAAGGGATCTCTAACCTTCAAACCGTTTGAGGGAGAATACTCTCTGATATGATTTGAATCTCTGGCCAGAGTATGAATGAGATTTAGGAATGCGTTCCAAATCACATTCAAGGTAATCATATAAGCACAAGACACACATTGGATAGTAGACATGAGAAAATAAACTATCAAACCAAACAATGTGGTCAAGAGTATTAGATTAGAGAAGGACCGTATTGCATTTGTAATCTCGAACTGAATAGGTTTCTCTAACCTCTTCTGATTAGCTTGAGTAACCATGATATGCTGCTAGGTGTCACTCATGGTTTGTGGAAGCCCTAAACGTGTATAATCACTAAAGGGAGAATTGAAAATAGTTTCAATTCACAATCGATGTAAAATGGTTTTAATCGCCCACTACCTCGCTAAAAGGAACCTAATGGATCGCACACCGTGAAAGGTGGAGATTGGAGATTAAACGGAAATGAGTAAGAATGATTAAATGGTTTAATCATTTATTTATGGCAAGGATTAATTAATATGTTAATTAATCAAACGAATAAGTTCGTTAAAGACTTCGGGATAGTTTTGGACCTTAAGGCCCAATGGGCTTCGAACGTCAAGCCCATTAACTTAAGTTGTATGACAATTTAATGAATAAAGATTCATTAAAGCCCAAAAGCCCAAATCCCATAAGGTGGCCGGCCATATTAGATGAATTAGGGTTGTTTGGTTATTTAGGTCACTTAAAGAAGTGACTATATAAATGACTTTATAACTAAATATACATTAAGTGAAAAATGGGTTTATTTTTGGGGAAAATGGGTGAGAATTGTCTCTCCATTTTCTCTCTAAAGAGGCCAACACCTTGGAGGGTACATCTAGCAATCCTACTACTCCAAGGTCACTCATTTCTTCTACAATCGAACCTTGGTGTCGAGAATTAGAGGTTCTCAATTTTGGGAACTTGGAGAACCTATTCTTCCATCCAAATCCATGGATCTAAGAAGCAAGGAATGAAGGCTCTTATCTCTTTGGGTGATTAGCCTTTGCTTATGCAAAGAGGAATCTACAAAGGTATTAATTTCAACTCACTTATGTTTTGAGTTGATTATTGGTTCACCAATCTACTAGGCTTTGAATTTCATGGTCATGTTTTGTTTTTGAGTACATACAAGCATGATTCCGCCTTTTAATTGTTAATTGCATGCTATATGATGTTGCTCAAATGAACATGTTTTACAAAATAAATCCTTCAGTATACTAGTAGTTGTGTAAGTGGTTTATTAGAACTTGTTTGGGATTCCTTCTAAAAAGTAAAACTACTTTATGAAAAGCAAATACGCTTGAGTATGTTTGACGGAAAACCTTAGAAGTGCCTATGGATTATATAACTGATTTCCTATAACAATTAAAAATTCTACTCTTACCATAATTTTCATACCACATTTCTAATAGAAATGAGACCTATATGTGATGGTGTACCTTACCTTCATTAGAAATGTGGTACAAATATAGAATGAAAAATGTGGTAAATGTAGGATTACTAAAAAACAATTATCGGAGAAGGGTGCTTTTCAAGAAGCTCGTTGAAATTTTTATTGTCATTTAAAATGTATATACTCACTAAAAATGTAAAGTACTAAAACTAAATATTTTACATTTGAAGGGAAAACACAATTTATTATTTAAAAATGTAAGTCAATACATAACAGAAAAACAAACATTACCATTATTCATTCATGGAAAGTAGAATTCCAGAGATAAAGGTCCAGACGTGGACGAAGAAAGCTTTCAAGCCGAAACAACAGAGAACCAGCGCAAAATGACAACCAGCGTGCTTCCACTTTTGACGAGTGTAGAACTTTTCATCGTCATCTTCATCAGCCTCCAAATTCATCCCACTCATGGCTGTCTTAATCCGACGGAGCTGTCTTTTTAGTTTCTTCAAATCGTATAAGTTCTGTTCATCTTTTAGTTTGGTGTTAATATAGGTGAGCCCCTTCTTGTAAATCTTTACCAGAACTTGCACCGATAACATAAAACCAATAGTTAGCGTGAGCTTCAAGTTACCACAAACTATAAATTTGTTGGTGAAAGCAGACAAAGTTAACATCTGCATCACGATGTAAAAACAGGCCAGGTTGACAACGGATGTTTGGAGATGGGTGAGACCTACATCTCGGATGCTAATCTCCTTTTTCACCTCCGCGATTTTGTTCTTGAATTTCTTCTTTGTCTCACTGATGATGTCGTTTGGATTCATGATGTTCCTAAAAAAGTACCAGCAGCAGTTGCTCAAACATTGACAGAAATTAATAATTCAGTTTACTGATCATATAAAGCAGAGATTACAATAGTGCAGACATTGAAGTAAAAAAATTTCTGCAATAACAAATTTAGCTTAGAAAAAAACAGAAATCATTATGAATCCGTACGGCAATGATAAGCTCAAACGCCCCGGATCGATAGGCAAACAGTCAACAATAAACCAAATACTGTAAGAATATTTAAGAGCTAGTAAATATTATAAACCAGTACTAAAGACTTCTGGAGATTTACCAGCTGCGGCCACCGTGCGTGGCGGAGAAGAAGGCACAACAACTGAAATGCCAAAAGAAGTAAAATAAGCAAATCAACTTGAAAGTCCAATTATACCAACGATTTCAGAATACTTCTCAACCCAAAACTAAATTGAAAAAAAAAAATCAGAAATCTTGCATAAACCAAAGCTAAATTGATATCTTGAATAGTGGGGTTCTGGTGTGGAAATGGAGATCGAGAAAGTTTTAGTCTTTCTCAGGGATTTTAAGTGTTAATAATGTAATGGGACCCGACAAAGCTTACCGCACATTTCTTTCTTGTGACTTCAATAAATAGAACTGTAAATATTTATTCATTATTTTGTAGAGTGTGATGTGGTTGCATTCTGAATCTCGACTTCACAGAACAGCTAGGCTTGTTAGGTCAAAGGGGATTACTCTTGTTCTTCACTTGAAATTTTTTCCGGAGACCCACGATATAAATCACAAATGAAAGACAAGCCAAAGTTTGATTAATCCTTTAAGTTAAGTATCTTTAGTATTTTAATTTGAATACAATCGTTAAAGTGAAGATGCTAGGTGTACAGTTTAACTATAGCAGGAAAAAAAAAAGGTACATGGTTAGCTAACATGAACAGAATAAAGCTGAACCAGAGCTAGATATATATAATCATACATATATGTCTGTGTATTTAGATTAGTGAAAGCGGGTTGGGCTAGAAAGACATGGTTTAGTTAAATTGGATGGAGTTTTGACCCTCGCACTTAAATTTAAATTCTAATTCTGTAATTTAAATTAATTTAATGTAATTACTTTATCGTTTGTTAACAAAAAATTTAGTCAACTAATCCTGGAGGTAGGTTTCGAAAACTTTCAAAAGCTAAATAGAAATTAGCTATATAGTATTACAAACAATCTCCCTGATTATAAGCTGACTCCATAACAGTAAGGTCAATTGTACAGAATGTGACAAGTTTTTATAGACCATATGAGGATTCTATTTCTAAATTTCTCATAGCTCATAGAAATCTTGTTGCTCAACACTTGTTTAAATTTTATTCAATTGAGAATGTTTGGATTAACTCAAATTACTTAGAGCATCTCAAGTGGAGATGCCAAAAGAAAAATGTCAAATGTAAATGTGAAGGCCTATGTCGCAATTTCAAATTTCATTTTGCTCCAACTCATATGTTTTTTTCTTATTCAATTAATGTATGTGAGACCCACGCTTCAAAATAAATCAATTAAAGCTAATTTTCATAATTTATGATTGATGCATTACTAAGACTCGCACAACAAAACACTTAAAAAGTAAAAGACGTTAGATTTTCTTATATATCAAAATTGGCAACACACAATCTTTATGTCAATCCATGTAAGACTGACATATTGATTGGAGTTTCTATCTACCTTCATATTGTTTTACGTGACATTTCACTTTAGATTTGACTTTGGAGGAGAGCAACTTACATAGAACAGATTCACCTCCATGTGGTGTCTCGATCTAATGATACATTGCCATGTGGATAAAAACTTGCACATGGCAATGCATTATTGGGATAGGGGACATCATGTGACGGTGAACCTGTTCTATGTTAGTCATGCTCCCTTTGAAGTTGCTTTTATAAACTCATGCAAAGTTCATTTTGACATTTTTTTCATTAACGTGGGATTCATTCTTGCACCATCACTAAAGCTTGCTGAGTTGAACACTGCAAAGGCTAAATTTGGTGTCCACATTGCATAAAGCATGGTACAAAGTTGAAGTAAAAGCCGAATTAGAACCAGAACCAACCATGCTGCATTATTGCTTTAGTCCCTGATTCCTTTCGTATCCAACGGTCCTACTGGACTAGATGGCAAAAAGAAGCGAATCGAGACCGTCCAAATAAAGAATCGAATCTATAGGAGTAAATTCTTCTTTGGTGGTGGGTGGATGGATACACATCACATGCATTATCAGATTATCTTCTATGAAAAAGAAAAGGAGACATAAGGCAAAGATTGCATGCGGGCATGAGATGTCAATTTTCATGCAGCAAATCAACGTCCTATATCAACAGATGCTCATCGATGCTATTTTTGGTGTGTTAATTAGTTGATGAAAGGTATCCATACGGTTTGATTGCAATTTTATGGTTCATTTGTTTAGGATATGCCTTTACTTTGTCCAAGTGTTTAGTATTTGATCACACAAATAGAAACAAATGGGGAAAAGTGCGACTTTGGCCAAAGGATCGCAAGTACTGTCCATTGTTCAAAGTGTTTCTCTCTAAAAATGGTAAATACCAAAAATATATATGACAATATTTCGGAATTTCTTATATATTCATTAATTTTCAAAGTGGAGTATATATAGGAGTTACAATTGGTATTACATATGCAATTCGTCAATGTGGGACAACAGACTACTATTTACACTTTAACTAATATATAACTCGCAACACTCCCCCTCAAGTTGGAGTAAAGATGTCACGCATGCTCAACTTGTCAAGCGAGTTGGAATACACACTATTAGACATAGCCTTAGTAAGTACATCAGTGAGTTAATCTTCAGATCCCACAAACGGAAACATACATCATCTAATTTTTCCTTGATGAAATGTCGATCAATCTCCACATGTTTTGTTCGATCATGTTGCACTGGATTATGAGCAATCTCAATAGCAGCCTTGTTATCACAATGGAGTTTCATAGCACCCTTGGGTTTAAATCCAAGATCTCTCAACAATTTTTTTTCAACCACAACAACTCACATATACCATGTGACATACCACAAAACTCAGCTTCAGCACTTGACTAGCCACCACTTTTTGTTTCTTGCTTCTCCAAGTAACTAGATTACCACCCATAAATGTAAGTATCCAAATGTAGATTGCCAATCAGTGATAGAACCTACCCAATCTGCATTTGTATACCTTTCGACATTGAAATGACCATTATTGGAGAAAACCAAGCCTCTGCTAGGAGCCATCTTCAAGTACCTCAAAATACGGATTACTACATCTATATAAGCTTCACTAGGTGAGTGCATAAACTGACTTACCACACTAATTGCATAAGCAATGTCAAGGCGAGTGTGAGACAAATAAATTAATCTCCTCACAAGCCTCTAATAGTATTCCTTATGAGTAGGAACTTAATCCATAACTAAACCCAGACGATGATTCTACTCGATCGGAGTATCAACAAGTTTGCAATTTAACATACCTGTTTCAGCTAACAAATCAAAAACATACTTCCATTGAGACAAAAAAAATACCATGCTTGGATTGTGCAACCTTGATTCCAAGAAAATACTTCAATTCACCCAATTCTTTCATCCCAAATTCAATAGCTAGATACTTTTGAAGGCGTTGTATCTCCTTCTAATCATCACCAGTCACTATCATGTCATCAAGATAAATAATCAATGCAGTTAGCTTACCAAACAAAGTATGATCTGAATAACTCTGGACATACCCAAACTTCTTCATTAAACTTGTAAACCTCCCAAACCAAGCTCTATGAGATTGTTTCAAACCATACAAAGCATTTCGCAACCTGCATACAACACCTTTTCTAGGAGATGTTTCAAAACCAGGTAGGAGATCTATATAAACTTTCTTAACATCAAACTGCAACAAGGCCCATCTTGGTTTGCTGCTAAGGATAGAAGAACACGTACAATATTAAGTTTGGCAACATGAGCAAATGTCCCCTAGGCCTATCATATATTTTTGCACGAGCCCTTCTTGACCTATCTGGATCTTCTTGGTCATCATCGAACTCTCCATCAATATACCCATCTCGCTCATCCTCCACTATCATATTGTGTAATATGATGCAAGACATCATGATGGAGTCCAAATTTTCTTGACTCTACCCTCTTGCCGGTTTGCTGATGATCTTCCATCGTATTTGTAGAATATCGAAAGCTCTCTCAACATCTTTCTAGTATGCCTCTTGGTGTAAGGTAAAAAACTTTTCCACATCATTCCTAGGGCTTGGAATTGCTTGGACAAGTGTCACCCACTTTGGGTAGATGTCATCTGCCAAGTAATACCCCATATTATATTAACGATTGTTGATGTAGTAGTCAAGTTAAGGTGTTTTACCTTCTGTCAAGCGATTGAAGAGTGAACGCCCAAGAATTGTAATGTAATTTTGGGATCCAAGGACTCCAAAGAAAGCATGCCAGATCCATGTGTCATATGAGGCAACCGTCTCTGACACAACAATTGGCTTTCTCGACCTTCCGCAGAAGTCTCATTGCCATCCGGTGGAACGGTTCTTCCAATCCCAATGCATGCAGTCTAATGATCCTATCATGCCCAGAAACCCACGATCTTCAGCTTTGCGAATGAGCCGATTAAGATCTTCTTGATTTGGCTCGGGAGGTACTCTTCTTTGTAAGCCTGAACAATTGTGTCACAGAATTGTTCAAAAGTATCAAGGCATGTAGACTCAGACATACCATGGGTTTTATCCATCGAATCAGCTAGGGAGCCATAGGCCATCATTCGGAGTGCAATAGTAACTTTATGATGAGGTGAGAAGCCAGGGCGGCCTGCTCTGTCTCGTTTTTGTCAAAAGTATGGATTGACTTGGTAGACATCATGAAGTAAATGCTCGAAGACATGACGCCTCATCTGGAAGCGACCCTTGAAATCCTCTTCTATGTACACCGAGTTGGGGTTGAAGTAGTTGTTCATCAGATTGGCATGCGTCATTGCTCTGTTTCGTGGTTTGTAAGAGTGACCAACAACATAGCCACCCCATTGAGGTTGTTCCTCAGTTGGCTGACACACCATGGCTGCTACTCTGTTTTGTTTGTTGCGCCTTGCTTGAACTTCTTCATCAGGCTCCTTATCTTCTCATCTCATTTGTGCCCATTTTTCTTCCAATTTGGAATTGGATGAGGACCTCTAGTTGGAATTCGAAGAAGATCCAAAGTTGGAATTCATTGCAAACTTGAAGTGAAAGAGATTGAATTGAAATAGATTGAATTTAAAGTTGTGTGAATTATAGCCCAATATCCATCCTATTTATAGCCAAAGCCCTATTGCCCTTTGGCCCTCGGTTGAAGATGGAGACAAATATGGTCATGTACTGTTCTTTAAAATATTAATTTCTTGGAAGGCCAGAAGGTTAACGTGTCCTCTGGCCAGCCTTCGATTGAATATGGCTTTAGTCTTTGAGCACCCCACTTCTCCACTTCTCCTTCTGCAAGTAGTTTTTCATTTTTATTGTTTGGTTTCATTGTCAAGCTTTTAGCTTTGCAATTGAAGCATTTATGTAATGTCTTTTTTTTTAAGTTTGATTTCATCACAATTCTTGATTTTGTTTATATGAGTTTATAGCTTGTTTTGTTAATGTTTTAATATTTATTAACCTTTTTCCTTTTCATTTGGTCTCAGGGAAGAGATCAAGTCAGTCCTCTGCCCCCAGCCTATCGTCACTCTTTCCCCAACGTTGCTTTGCCGCCATGACTTTTATCATTGAAACAGAAGCCTCAACTGAATCGGACGACGAAAGTACAGAGTGTCTATTGGGAATTAATCTCACATTGATGAAACAAGGGACCTTGCATGAACGGCCTTGCCAGCACCAGTCACGTAATGAGCCTATCCTACCAGGGTTCGATTGGAGTCCAGCCAATGGTAACCCCCGACAAGAACATCCAAGGCTCCCATGCAACCATATGGTTGGGGTACCATCTAAGTTGTTCTCGCCTGAACAAGTTGACAACTACAAGTAACTGTTAAAAACAGCTCAAAACAAAAGGATGGGACACACATCAGATCTTTTCCGCCATATAATGCCTCATGTCTTCCATTACTTCTCAATCCTTATGGCGAGAGAGGCGTCCATTGCAGGACGAGGCTAGGTACTAGCTCGGACGATTTTATTTGTAATCATAAAAAACTGTGATCCACACAAATACGATATATGCAGAACCAACTTGAAAGGAAAGCATAATTCACCATTAATTAAACTATGTAGCATCCTGAGAAGTCATTACACAGCAGACTAACAAACACAATTATCATTTTTCATTCATGGAATGTATAATTCCTGATATATAGATATAGTGGCCCAGACGAGGACGAAAAAGGCTTTCAAGCCGAAACAACAGAGAAACAGCACAACATTACGACTGGCGTGCTTCCACTTTTGAAGAGTTGCGAACTTTTCATCTTCATCTTCATCTTCACCAGCCTCCAAATTCATTCCATGTAGGGCCGCCTTAATCCTTCGGAGCTGTCTTTTAGCTTCTTCAAATCATACAGGGTCCGATCATATTTCAGTTTGGTGTTATCGTAGGCGAACCCCTTCTTATAAATCATCACCAGAACCTGTACCGATAGCAAAAGATCAATAGTTAGCATGAGCTTAAAGTTCACTATAAACTTGCTAATGAACCCACGCAAAATTAACAGTTGCACCCACATGTAAAAAAGGTTCAAATTCATAGCGGATGCTAGAAGACGGGTGAGATCCAAATCTTGGCTGCCAGTCTCCATTTCCACCTCCCTGATTTTGTTCTTGAAACGCTTCTTTAACTCCCTGAGGATGATGTTCGGATCCATGGTGTTCCTAAAAATACAAAAAAAGATTGAAACGTTTAACCAAAAAATCCATATTGGCATAGAACAGTTAATTAACAACAGTTGCGATGCATGCACCTATAAAAACAACAACAAAGTATTATCCTACCAAGTGGTGTCGGATTGATGCATGCATTGACATTGATGTTTATAGTCCAAAGCAATCACATTCTCAATGCTTTACAAATCGAAAGCTGCGTACATATGATTCACAACAGGGGAAGTTGAAATAATAAGATCAAAGAAGTGCTGTTGAAATTTAAGGGTCTCGATTTGATGGGTAGAAATAGAATCCTTGGTTGAAATACAGCAATGGCAATTTCGATTTGGTTTTTTTCTAGAGTTTTAAACTATAGGTATACGAAAAACCCATCAAGTAAAAAAGTCGTACAACATTAAGATGCAACTCTAAAAGATTATGGTCACAAAACGCGAACAAAAGTCATACAAATTTACATAACATAATGCACAGCCAAAAACACTTAAACATCAATAAAATAGACAATTTACAAAATAAAAACGTTAAGCGCCTCACGGCTATGTTATAATAGATTCGAACATTTACCTCGGATCAACTTCCATATCATAATTGCTCTAGTGAACAACTAAAGAAAATGGATAGATGGGAGATGGAAGAGAAAAAAAAAACAAATCTAAACATCTCTGGGTGCAACTATTCACCCAAAAAAAAGTTAGAATTATGCATGAAAAAGAAATCAAATTAAAAGTTAAAAAATAATTGAAGCTTGGCGGGAGCTTTACCAGTGTCGACTCGCCACCGTGAGCGTCGGAGACCACCTCAGCCGCCAATAACAACTGAAATGGGAAAATCAGTAAAAGAAATCAACTTACAAGTCGAATTATGCCAACAAATTCAAAAAATTCAAAACCCAAAACAAAATTTAGAAGGAAAAAAATCACAGATTTGAATAACCCAAATAAAAATAAATACCTGGAGTGGGTTGGGGAGAAGTGGGTTTGCTCTGCTAGGGCAAATGGGGGATTATTAGTAGTCGCAAATCGCAATGGTCTCTTCATTTCCCGCTGAAATAAGCACACTTCCACCAAAATAGGGCCTCTTTTTCTTATTTCTCCTGTTTTTGTCGCATTCCTCTCTTATGAATTATGATCGGCTCTATTCTACTTATTACACGCGAACACTCTACTATCCCCCGAATTACACTACAAAATCCCTATTGACAACTGATTTACACAAAGCCTTATATTAAGAACTTAAATTACTTATATGACATGAATATGCTGCTACAGTAATGTTTTGCATTAAAATAAATGTATAAATTTTTATCCATACATCTTTATTTTATTGGTATGGGATCCCAATATGACAATGTACCTGTGTCATTTAAGTGGACGTCATTAAGAACTGATTTACACATAAAGTGAGGTGAGTTTTAGTTTTCCTTTATTTTTGATCATCCAATTGAAAAAATTAATCAAAAACGGCAAGCATGATTAAACATTTAGGGCTATCAAAAAAATTTCCCATGGGCCCAACTATAATAATTTTCATTTTAATCACTTCAAACCCTAATTAGTTACTAGCTTAGGATGATTTAATGTTGATTTTCCCAAAACCGCACTTTGAGTTACGCGCGCCTTTTTCGAAAGAGGTATACTCAAAACGACAACGTCCAGCTGTAGTTTTAGGAACCGGATCCTCTCCGGATCCTCAAAAACTGAGCAGCCTGAGAAATCAATCAGGACCGTTTAAATTTAATCCAATAATTACAATTAAGAAACTCTTTTTTTTAAGCCGTTAGATTAAATTTCAACGGTTCAGAATCATTTCTCAGGCTGCTCAGTTTTTTGAGATCCGAAGAGGATCTGGTTCGTAGTTTTAAACATTATAATTTTTTTTTAATAATAATAAAACTGTGCATTTCAAATCTGACGGAACTGATGCCCAAATCGATATTCCCTTCTCCATCGCAAACCTTGATTCCTCTGCGTCGATTCAATTCTCCACCTTCGATTCCAGGTGCCGCCATCTCCAATCTCATACTTTGATTTGTTAGCTTGATTACAATTTGCAAGTATAAATTTAAATTTAATTTTATGTTTTCTTCGATTTGTTTGTTGCTGTTGAGATGAAATTTATTGGAAAGAATAAGAATGCGATTCTAGGGTTTGAGTAGCACAAATCTGCAAAATTTTGTGATTCTAACTGGTTTCGGTGAATTTTGTTTCTGCGTGTGACTGATAATCTTGTTTTTTTTAATCTTTTCACAAACAGGGAGGTTTTGTATTCGAGAATGTTCCGAAATCGAAAGGGTTAGGGTTTTGTTAATGCATAAGTTCTTATGAGTTGGAAAAACAAGGAGGCACTAGAGATGATGAATTCATGTCCAACTATCTTTGTAATTCTCATGTATTTAGTCATCTTGAGCTCTGGGGGTGTTCATGTGCTATCTGTTCGTACACTTTCGACTGATCCTTGCAACCCCAAAGCCCAACAGGACCCGCAAAATCTCATTTCTGACCAGCTAACCGTACTCATCAATGGCTACTCCGAGTCTCGCATCCCTCTCCTTCAATCCATCGTCTCCACGTATGCGGCCTCGTCTTTGGTTTCATACATTCTTGTGCTTTGGGGAAACCCTTCCACCCCATCCCAGACCTTGTCCCAACTGGCTCGCAATCTCACAGACTCCTCCTTTGGATTCGGTGGCATCTCTGTAATCCGCCAAGCATCTGACAGCCTCAATAATCGGTTCCTCCCCAGGCCCGAAATTAAGACCCGAGCAGTCTTGGTCTGTGATGATGATGTTGAAGTTGACCCGAAATCCTTCGAATTTGCATTTAAAATGTGGGGATCAAACCCGGATCGGCTGGTTGGGTTCTTTGTCAGGTCACATGACATAGATTTGTCAAGGAAAGAGTGGATCTACACTGTTCATCCAGACAAGTACTCTATCATGCTCACCAAGTTTATGCTTTTGAAAAGCGAGTATTTGTTTCGGTACAGCTGTGCAGGAGGACCGGTGATGGCCAGCATGAGGAAGATCGTGGATAGGATGCAAAACTGCGAGGACATATTGATGAATTTTGTGGCAGCGGATGAGGTTAATGCAGGGCCTATATTGGTCGGAGCTGAAAGGGTTAGGGATTGGGGGGATGCGCGCAATGATCATGATGATGGTGATGCACGACGAGGATTGATTGGGGAGGTTGCACAGGTGGGATTGAGTAGTAGGAAAACAAAGCATAGGAAGAGGAGAGGGGAGTGTATAGGTGAGTTTCATAGGGTGCTGGGGAGAATGCCTTTGAGGTTCAGTTATGGGAAGGTTGTCAACTCCGTTGGCGAACAAGGGCTGTGTCAAAAAGGAGGGAAATTGGTGTTTTGTGATCAATCATAGTTGTTTTTCTGGAAGAACAGAAATTTTCAAATATTAGAAGGATTGAAATCTCATAGTCTTAAGTTTTATGGTGTAGCACCCTGGACCCATTTCAGAATCGGTGGACTTTTGAAAGAAGGCGCTCCAGCTGGTAAAAAGATGCTGCCATAGCACTCTTCAGTCTTGCAGTTTACAAATGCTAACAAGGTCAGGTTGTGTTTGTCGAGGAAATTCCTCTACTTATTGCGCTGTTGATGGATAACAAGGCAGGCGTTATCGACAATGCCTTGCCAGTGCTTGCTCGAAGAGTTGGAGGAGATTGGAAAGAGCAGTATTTTAGTGCCTATTCTTTTTCATCTTTTCTCGAAGAGGGCAGGAAAATTCGATCACTCTTCCGTGGAGACTGCAAAGCTTGGCTGCTGATGGATCCTTTGAAACTCGAAGAAAAGCTGATGCACTGCTTAGATTACTCAACCGGTGCTGCTTTCAATGTCAGAATCAGATTGGTTGACAGTGCAAGAATGTTCTTATTTTGTTTGATTCAGCACAGAAATGAAAGTGGGGTTGATTTATTAGAAAGCAATTCCATAAATGAAAGTTGATAATCTTTTCCGTATGCGGTGGGCTTGGGCCTGGAAGAGTAAAGCTACTTTTGCAACTTTGGTGCTGTTTGATCCAATTGAATGGATTGGGCTGCCTCGTTAAAAAGGATCATCCTAGCCATGTATATGCCAATTGTTTCACCGATTTACGTGACATAAGTAACCAACTAGCTCTTTTGTCTAATCATGTTTCCAGTTTTAATACTGAAATAAGTCTCAAGTTCGGTAACCTGGTTACCGGCTGCCGGCATTTTGTTTCATCTCGACCTTTAAAATTTCAAAGCTTAATTTTGATTCTCATATTAATTAACGATCTAACCGCTAAAAATCTCAGAGTATAAGATATTTCGGAGCATACTAAAAAATCCTCAAAATGCAAACCTAATGCATGAATCAAAACTAGGATTGGCTTTGAATTGTTGGTAGAACGCAATCAGCAAATCGCACGATTCCAGGAATATGCTTGCCAGGAAGCAACCAAATTCGGAGTCAATCAAACACCTTGCGCCAACTAGCCTTTCTACTTCACGAAACCCTACTGGTTGGGCTTCGGCGGCTCGGCTTCCGGTGGAGCACCCGTTAAGTCATGCATCAACATTTGAAACCCTATATGTTTAAGGAACGAGAAAAAACTGTTGTGTCGTAGGGGTATATCTCTTGTATCTAGTAACACTCAATTAGGTGAGTTGAGTATTGTAGAGATAGTGGGATATTGTTGGCCGCCTGCAATTTATGCATGCATGCTCTTTTCTCTATGAACTTGTTTGACGACTCTTTAAATTTGAGTTTGACAGTTTAACCAGTTAGCTAGCTTGTAAGGGCACTCTCATAAAGGGTAAGGCTTTGTCATTGGGAGTTGCACTTATGTGAGTTCTAATAGTAACCAAAATATAGTTTTAGCTAGTCAGGCTGCAGTACTCAAGTTTCTCTTCTTCCTTCAAACACCTATAGAAATGGATGGTAATGATGGGCTAAGTGCACACTTACACAGAAAAAAGGAATACATTAAAGGATAATGAAATGGAGCTGTAAATAATTGAAGGGCCATTACTATTAATGTGAAGAAAGTAGAAATCAAGAAACCCTAGGACTCGAACGATTCAAACAAACAAAAAAGGTGCCCTGCCCCTAAGCCCTAAGGGAATCCAATGATAAGAACTCAAAAGAAACCTTGTAGTGTGAGAAAGACATTACTACCACAAGTAGAGTGTAGAAATTAAGTCCATTTTTGGTATAGAAAATTTAGTCCAACATTTCACTGTCATGAAATCGAAAAGGATTAATTGTGGTAGTGGTCTTTGAACTTTACCCTTAGTTTAATTTTAGACCATGAACTCTTATATTTGTTTCTTTTGTTCTCAAACTTAACAATGTGTTGAACCATTGGTCATTTTCATTAATGTTGTCTATTTTTTGGTTGAATTTAGGGATATAATAGGAATTTCATCCCACATCACTAAAATTGAATTAAAAAATGAGAAATGAGAAAGAAAAAAAAAACCTAAATTTTTTTGTGTTAGAATATTGAATACATACGAATTCTTTTTGGTAGTTTAATATGTGATTTCTTAGTTGTTTGAGTTCAGTCATAGTTTGATCTTCTACCAACTTTGAAATCACATTGCCTAATATTTACAAGTTGCTAAATTCTAACAATTTTAATTCTGTAATTTTATAGTTCAAATTTAATTTTGTTATAAGTTTTTTGAACAAACGATATTATCTACATTAAGGGGGTGAGAGAATGGGCTAAGCCTCACAATGGGCCCAATCTGTAAACACGAATTTTCTGCAACAAATGAGACAAGAACACGTGTACAAAATCAATGTATTTTATTAATGTAGGTTTAAGGTTACATTAAGGTTACATTCTGTGTGTACAATTTGAATCCTCTGATTCGATCGCCAAAATGCAAAGTGTGTATGTAGGAGGTTGTTGATCCAAGGGTCGTGATGTCTTGATCTCGAATGAACGGATGCCGCAAGAGTTTGTCTTGTGACGATGGAAGAATCGGCTCATGTAGTGATGCTTGATGATTCTTAACAACTTTGATGAAGAATGCAGAGAATTTTCTGAGTGTTCTTAAATGTTAGAGTATTTAGAAATTTGGGAGTTTCATAGGCTTGAGAGCTTCAGTGTATGGGTGTGAGAAGCTAGCAATAATGTGGTTCAAATTCGTTGATGAGAATCGAACATAAGACCTCTCACTTACCAGTGAAGTGAAATACCACTAGACTGTAGTACTAAGTAGCTATTGCTAGCTTCTCACACCTAGACATTGAACTATAAATAAAATTCATGGACTATTGCTACAATTAAACCAACGAAAAACTTGTGATGTTTTCCTTTCGGCCACTTGGTCATTTTTATGCAAGAAATTAGACTACTTTTTCATGGTGGTTCAGACGTGGGGGCTTTTCTGATGGTTCCCCTTCGAAAAAAGTTAGGCATTACCTGGTCTTAAATAAGAGTAATAAGGCCATGAAAACGAAAAATCCAAAGCTAATTGCTTTTAAAGGAAAAAAAAACTCAAAAGAAAGTGAAGGAGAAACCCTCCTTTTAAGCAAGGCATGCAAAGCATCCATCAGCATCTTTGTTTTTGGAAAGTGCTATCCATAAACTCACTTTTACGTCTTGCACTAAATTTTTTATCATTGATTTTTTTTCAATTTATTTAATCTGATTGTTGAAAATTAAAAAGAATGTTTGAGAAATAAAAATTAATGTGTGGATATCACTACCCTTATTTTTATGTTGGCACTTTTCCAAATCAAGCTTCCCTCATTGCTTTGCCGCACTTAAAAAAAAAAAAACTTAGAGATCCACTCTATTTACCTAAACGAACCACTAACCCTAGCTATATGCTTTGCCTATCAAGGCATTAATTTAATTTATAGCTTTTGCATATAAGATGGAAGACTACATAGTGTGATCTTTTGTTGGTTTTTGACTGCATTTCATTGGTGACCACCTTAGTTTAAAGCTTATCCAAATTGATTGAAGAACATAGAGAGTCCTTGCTTGATTATACTCTATAATTCAAACTTTAGATCCATGAAATTACAAGGAAACTTTATGAAATATGATAAGGGCATATGCCACTATCATTTCCATATTGGCTCCAATGCCAAGGGCATAAAGAAACACTTGGTCCATCTATAATAATTGTCTTCAATAGACTTGTCTTTAATATATTAGTCGCTTACACATCCGTAAATAATTGTAGCTTATTTGTAGTGCATTGACAACTTACAGTCTTACAGTCGTTACAACTTACAACTACATGAATGACTGATGCTAGTATTGCTTAAAGCAACATCAAACTTCTAATGATATGCACTAGCTAGTGTTGTGATTAAAGAGGATGATGTAAAAGGCTAGGCTGTGTAGACTTAGCAACACCGTTAAAAAAAAAAATTAATTATTCATATAGTTCTAGTTCCTCAATACTTGAAAGCATGTCAAATTCCTATGGACGAGGACATATCAAATAAGAAGAGCCAAGTCTCTAGAAGGATATCATCAAATATAGCCTCATAGTGAAAATGGTTGAATAAAAAAAATTAGACCTTCCATTACACTTAAGGACCAATAAGTCACTATAACAATTCTATTGGGTAACCTATTTAATATGTGGCCCCAAATAATCTTGCATCTAATTTCATCTTTGATTTTATAATTGGTCATGTTCAATTAAAAAATAAACTGTATTGTTATTGGTCTTGGGAAGATTAGTATAACCTTACTACTGAAGTGCTCAGTTGCATCAACTATACTATTGATGAAATATCATATTTACATGTCATTTTATACTTATGAATATTAAACGGTTTAATCACATACCACATTTAGTACGTGTGCATTCGAATTGACTAATCGTTTCATGTTTGAGTCGACATGAAGATATTGATAATCTCATTTTTGGATTTAACATGTTATTGCGTTTTGATTTGTTATTTTAACAAACTTTATAAATCAAGGCCATATCCTAAAACATGATTTCACATAAACAATAACTTTAAGTAATGTAAAAACATAACATAGAATTTTGAATAAACTACTTTGAGTATTCTAACAACGTAATATATTAAAATTGTAAAACATTTTGAACTAGCTTCAAGGCCAGTCTTGAGTTTTCAATTGCCTGGGGCGAAATTCAAATGATGTCTTCTGTAGATTAATTAATAGACATCTTTTACACACTAATTAATTTTATTAACAATGATAAATATCAGGATTATAAAATAATATATGTGGACTACAGCCGAAGAGAAGGACAACTATGTGATCAAGAGAACACAACTAGTTTTTTTTTTCAATTTGAATATATGTAGGGACAAATAATAATTGGGAAATTCTTATAAAAAATAATTAAGAAATAGTTTGGTGCCCATAGAAAAACAAAAATGCTCATGTGTATTAAATAATTTAAAAAGTAAAGAAATAAGACATTACAAAGGATCGAAACGCAATCTCATAGAAACACTTTAATAAGTAATCAAACTATTTGCTATTTATACGAATATAACGCAAACTCATACTAAATACCTTAATATTTTTGTCCCTCCGATTTTTTTGGGCTCCGAACGGTCGCCCTGCTGACACAGTGCTAGCCCTAACTATCTTTTAATATAAATATTTGAAAAAGTCTCAAGTTCAAATTACACCGTTGAAAAAAATAATCAAACATAACTACTAACTAGGCAATTACCTAATCGATGTTTTCATTAACTTTCATTGAAGCAAATTTTTCGTCTTCTAAACAAAGAACCCAAAACCCTAACAACCAATGTTTTAAAAATATCCGTCTAGACGCTAGGCGGCTGGCCACCGTCCCAATTAATGTTTAGACGTTTGAAAATTAAGAAAGAGCGCCTAGACTTGCTGAGGCATCTGCCTAGACCGCCTAAGCACCCACCTGGCTTGCCTATGCCTAGATTGCGACTCATTTAGACAGAAAATAGATAACTTTTAATTTTCATTTTGTTTTTTTTTTAATAAATTGTAAGAGAATTGTTGAATACTTAAATGAGCACACATTATATGTTTATTCCCCATGTTTTCATTATGTTCCAATACTTCATAATATATATGTCACTCTATTTTGTAGTTTATGATGAAATTATATATATTTTAAGTATAAACAGACATTTATTTACACAAAATATAATAAATTTACTTAAATCCGCATAGTCTGCTAACTAGCGTTTGTCAAAACCCTTCCAGATTCAGGTGGCCACAGACAATCAACTTGTTTCGTGTCAGCATCATGATTCATTCCAGATTCTAAGAATCAACGGTCTAGATCTTCATAAAATAAATAAAATATTGCATTACTTGCACAGGAAGATCCCGTCATGTGCAATTACCACAAAACCCACATCTCGCGCCATTTCGTACAATTACTAAGGGTATTCCCGTACAAAAATAGACACTTTACTTTATTTGCTCCTCACTTTTCTTTACGTACTTTCCTGCACCCCACTTTGCTATTTACACCCACTCTCATTATTGAATTATGAGAAAGACGGCCGAGTGTCTACTTCCAACAACATCAATAATGTCTTCAACTTAATAATTATCACATGCACAATCCGTCAAGTATGAGTTTTTATCACAAAATACATCGGTATTAGTTAGAGTTGATTTATGATATTTAAACTATTTGTCGATTAGGGTATTTAAACTACTATTTTGTCATTGATACGGTTGATATAAGACATTTTAACATACCATCTCACATGAAACTCAATTAGTGGGTCACACGTGGAAGATCCACACATCGACAATCACATGGAGTCAAAGAGACTCACCCTACACGCGAGGCCAAGGGACCCACACATCACATAGTAGTACGGTACAGGCCGGCTCCATAGCTCTGATACCATGCAAAAATATTAAAGAGATAGACCGAAGACCACTTCCAACAACACCGATATTATCCTCAACTTAGTAATTATTATCTGCATAATTCGTCAGATGTAAGGTTTTATCATAAAAGACCTTGAAATTAGTTGGAGTAAGATTATGGTATTTAAACATTCTTTTGTCATCGATATGGTTGATACGAGACATTTCAACACGCACTGCTTCTATTCCTCACACTTCCCTCTTCCTTTCTCTCTGCTAATCCCACCAGAGGTAACATGGAGATCCCAAATGGAGCAAAAGCCGTCTTGCCACGCAGAGGTTTACTCGCAGACGGTGTCGTCCCCTTTCCAATTACAGCGGAGCCCGTCGGAGTTTTCTCTTGGTGAGGCCTTGGGAGTACTTACTGGAGAAGTCCATGAGGTCAGAAGGCCGCCGATACTCAAGGGTACCAGGATGGAAAAGTCGGCGAGTTTCGGGCGAAGTACCGGAATTTCGCCAGTACGGATGTATTTTTCGGCGCCGTTGCGCCAGTGACCTCAGCTCCGCTTTCAAAAATCGGGCTAGTCACACACACACACAAAATCTCTCTCTCTCTCTCTCTCACTTTACGCAGCTTTCCGGACACCTTGGTCCAGTGCCACGTCGATGCAATTTGACATGTTAATTTTTTTTAGTAAATCATTATTTTTATATTAGGAGGAGAAGAAATTAGGTTAAGCTACATAATGGACAATCTAATTTGGTATCGAATTCGTTATTCACGAGATTTGAACTTAAGACCTTTTACTTCTAAAGAAAGAGAAATACCACTAAACCCTAGTACTTAATAGCGACCTAATATGTGTGGTTTTAATATTTTGACCAAAACGTCGTCCGTAAAAATGAAGCTTAATACATTAATCATTTTAAGAAGGTGATGGTAGATTGATAAATTAATTAATTTTTCTTGGGCAATTAATTCATACTTAATTCAAAACATGTATGGCATTGGCAAGCCAGTAAAATCATCCTAGAGATGTTTTCTTTTTTGAACAATGTATGAATTTATTTGAAGTACGTATCAGTTCTAGTGTATTTAGACGTTCAAAACTGACACGTGTAAGGATAATTTCTTACTTTATATTATTAGTATATTGTTAGAATTTATAGACGACATCAACGTATATAAAAAAAAAGTTAGGTGGATATGTGTTGTCCATAATCAACGTAGATAAAAAAAGTTAGGTGGATGTGTCTTATCTTATTTGCCTTATACTATTTTGTAATCTTAAATAGTTATCCATAATTAAGTTAGTGTTTTAGTGGCTGGCTTTTTGAGACTACCAAAACCTCATAGCAGCCATTACAATACAAGTATAAATGAAGTACATCAAATTTTGAGTTCTAGCTGCAATCACATGATTCACAAAGTGCATGTATATATATTCCATATATGCAGGATATAATGAATGGTTTTTCAAGCATTGGTGAACTGACAGAAACCCTAGTCTGCACTCAAAATCTCACTCCAAAAAACTCCTGCATCTCAGCAACCATGGATTCCCAGTCATCGATTTGTGGTATGGTTTCAGAAAACACGTCAAGCTTACACCTTTACACTTGCTTGTCTTTGTTTTCATAGCTTTTTCTGCGTGTTGTGTTTGTGTTTCTGGCGCCATTTGTTGTGTGATTTAGTGGTTTTGATAAATGGTTTTTCAGTTGGCAATCCAATATCGGCTGCTAAACCAATTGGCAGAGATAACCAAGCAAGAGGAGCCTACAGTGGTTCCGGAGAACAATCGGATGAGGATGGTTTCGAGATAGAAGTTGGTCCGTGTGGAGACAGTACAGACTCCCTCTATATAAAACGCTTTAGAAGGTATCCCATATAGGAAATGATTCAGGCCATGGTGCATCAACATGGGAAACCCAGCATGTTTAAGGAACGAGAAAAAACTGTTGTGTCGTAGGGGTATATCTCTTGTATCTAGTACACTGAATTAGGTGAGTGAGTTGAGTCGAGTGTTGTAGACACAGTGGGATATTGTTGGGCATTTTCTCAAGTAAAGTAATCAAGGGTCCTCATGTCCTCAAATGTTACATGTTTCTCATGGCCGCTTGCAATTTATGCATGCATGCTCTGGTCTCTATGATCTCGATTGACGACTTTTCAAAATTGAATATGGCAGTTTAATCAGCTAGCCAGTAAGGGCACTCTCACAAAGATTGAGGTTGTGTGCAGTAGGAGTTGCACTTACGTGAGTTATGATGGTACTTAAAATATAGCTTCAGCTTGTCAGGCTACCGTACTCAAAATTTTCTTCTTCATTCAAACACCTATAGAAATAGATGGTAAGGATAGGTTAAGCGCTCACTTGTTCAGAAAAAAGAATACATTAAAAGATAATGAAATGGAGTTGTAAATAATTGAAGGGCCATTTATTATTAATGTGAAGAAAGTAGAAACCAAGAAACCCTACGACTCGAACGATTCAAACAAACAAAACAGGTGCCCCCCCCCCCCCCAAGCCCCAAGGGAATCCAATGATAAGAACTCAAAAGAAACCTTGTAGTGTAAGAAAGACATTACAACCAGAAGTAGAATGTAGAGAAGTCCATTTTTTGACACACCCCGACCTAGATCGAGGCATGTTGGCCGTCACATGAGGGTGACGTAGCCATGTGCACAATGCAAAAGCAATAAAGATATAAAGAAATGTGAATAAATAAAAACCAAACTAACTAGAGCACTAGATAAGATAAGATGCAAGTGCGATATTAAGTGTGAGTTCACAATCAAAGCATAAGTAGCCTAAGTGCAGTCCAGCAGGACGAATACTAATTATACAACACCAAAGGTAATCCTACATGAGTGATAATCTGTCACATGAGGGTGACAGATTATCTTATCTAGTGCCCCCCCCCCCCAAGCCCCAAGGGAATCCAATGATAAGAACTCAAAAGAAACCTTGTAGTGTAAGAAAGACATTACAACCAGAAGTAGAATGTAGAGAAGTCCATTTTTTGACACACCCCGACCTAGATCGAGGCATGTTGGCCGTCACATGAGGGTGACGTAGCCATGTGCACAATGCAAAAGCAATAAAGATATAAAGAAATGTGAATAAATAAAAACCAAACTAACTAGAGCACTAGATAAGATAAGATGCAAGTGCGATATTAAGTGTGAGTTCACAATCAAAGCATAAGTAGCCTAAGTGCAGTCCAGCAGGACGAATACTAATTATACAACACCAAAGGTAATCCTACATGAGTGATAATCTATCAGAGCTGCTGTGAATTCCTCGTAAGCCACCAACAAGCACTCCTAACTAGAACCTGGAAGGGTGCAAAGCAGAAAGTGTGAGTGGGAAAAAACAAAGCTTTTCAAAACCATTTTATTTATCAAAAGTTCTAACCTCTCGCCGTAAAACTTATATAATTTCCCAGAAAATAGAATATATATATATATATATATATATATATATACATACATATCTCAAAACCATGCTCAGAAAACGATATTCATAAGTATGCCATGCCAAATATCTCAAAATAACATAATAAGTAACTTAGGTGAAATAACATATCAGCCGGATCCACCTAAAGTGGCCTGTACGGCTGAATCTATAACTCAACAAGTACGCCTGCACACGAGTCGGAACCACCTAAAATGGTTTGTACGACATGATTCGGTGTAAATAAATACGCTATAGTACTACGATCACGTGAAGACTGTGCGAATAATCGCGGGTCACCTACGAGTCGAAACCACCTATAGTTGTCTGTACGACAGGACTGTACACCTAACTTGGATCCAAGGTGAGCGTGCGGTGCGGGAGGTGAACATCACGGGCAGGAGCACTAACACCGGGGTCTAGGTTTATGAACTCTCAACACATCACATAATCATCAATTCACATATAAACAGTCTACAACTTACCTGGTACTTACTTGAGCGTCCACAACATCAAATCACATTTATGCATGCTATACTAATTCATAATCTAAGCATAAATCAATAGGCATGGCATTTCAAAACATAATTTCATTTAAACACATTTTCTAGGAAAAATACCAAGTATATAAATATATACTGAAAACCAAAAGCTCACTCACTGATATGTGGAAGGGTCGTAACCCCCGAGCCTTTCTTGACTGAGCTCGTCCTCAGGATAGGTCTCACCTATATGCGAAACAACTATATAAACGTTATTTTAAAGCACATACACAAAACTAGGTAATAACTTCTCATACATAGCTCAATTGGGGTATTTGAATATACCACCATGACCTACTCCACCTCAGGAACAACCCCATGTTTTTGGAAAAATTTTCCAAGCACCCACGCGCCGACCAAGGCACTGCCAGACGCTCGGCACACACGTAGGCACGTGTCTGGCACACTGACGGATTCCCTAATGGCATTAGGGAATATTTCGTTAAAAATCAGCATATACCGTTAAAGATACCTGACGCCGTTAGCATATTCCGTCAACTTTGATGGAATATTCTCCTTCTTCCTTGGTTCGCCGGAGTCCGACACCGGTGCCGCTGTTATCGCCGGAAACTGGAAAAATCTTTAAACTTCAATATCTCATCCAATACTCAACCAAATTCAATGAAATTTGTACCAAACTGAAGCTTACAACGAGTAGAACACATTCTCACCACTTTGGGGACCTAAATTCAATGGAAACTCACTGGAAAAAACTCGAGGAAACCGACCAAACCCTGCACCTATATAAACCCTAGTGTTCTTACGTCAAAACCACTCCAAAATTGATCCAACATGCTAGAAAAGCAAGAATAATACCTTCTTAGGTGTCAAAACAACTTAAAACCTTCGCGATCACATTGGAGGAAAAATTACCCCTCGCCAGAGTTCGGATATCTCGATTTCTACAGGTCCCTTCCTCAAACAAAAGGTACGACTCTGCTCCTAAGCTTGCAAGGAGTTAAAAAACGTCATCATCTAGCTCGATCCATTAGTGATTAAGCTAGTTAGGAGGTTGACCGTATGTATTGTACGAACAATGGAAGGAAATCGAGAGGGAGAGAGGGATAGAAAGTCAACGAGATATGTTGGTGTGTGTGGTCTAGATTTGTCACCCCACAAACCACAAAACACTAAAACAAATTTTAAGTTTCCTATTGGGTCCCAAAAACTTAGGAAATGGATTTAATTGGTCCAAATACTAAGCTCATTCCACGCAACACAACTCAACATTTAAGGGTAATTTAGTCAATTCACACCATCGTTAAAATATATTTCGGGACTGGTTGTCACAACCTACCTTTCTTAAAAAAATTTCATCCCCGAAATTCAATACAATAATGTACAACCACTAATAACCATAAAATAAGTGTGGATACATTTCTTTCATATGCTCCTTAGTCTCCTAGGTGGCTTCCTCCACAAAACTTTCACCAAGCGCACGATCTTATTCCTCAAAGCTTTATCTTTCCAATCCAAAATCGTCACTGGTTTCTCATCATAAGTCAAATTCGGATTAATTTCCAATGGTTGAGGAGGTATCACATGTGATGGATGAGAAACATAATGACGAAGCATGGAAACATAAAAAACATCGTGCACTTTAGACAACTCTAGAGGCAACTCAAGCCTGTAAGCAACTTCATCTGATACGGTCTGATGTACCTAGGACTTAGCTTACCTTTCTTCCCGAACTGTACCACACCTCTCAATGGTGATAGCTTCAAAAACACCCAATCACCAACTTTATACACTCGGTGTGTGGCATGCTTGTCTGCTAAACTTTTTTGTCGATCCTGAGCCGCTTTCAAGTTAGACTTAATTACCTGAATATTCTGAGTAGTTTCATCTACAATCTCAGGGCGCACCAAAACTCTTTCACTAAGTTCTGACCAACATAAGGGTGTACGACAAGATTTGCCATAAATTGCCTCAAATGTGACATACCGATGCTCGAATGGTAGCTATTATTATATGCAAAATCCATATAATCTAACCGCTGATGCTAGGTGTCGCCAAACTGTAAGACAGAAGATCTTAGCATATATTCCAGTGTTTGAATAGTCCTCTCAGATTGTCCGTCTGTCTATGGATGATATGTCGTACTATAAAGTAATCTCGAACTAAGAGCCTCCTGAAATGCCACCCAGAATTTAGAAGTAAACCTAGGATCCCGGTCCGAGATAATACTAATTGGAATCCCATGGTATTTCACAATCTTCGATATGAACAATTCAGCTAATCGGCTTAAAGAATATTTCTCCCTCACTGGAATAAAATGCGCTGACTTAGTAAGCCGATCAACTATCACCCAAATTCCATCATAACCATTTCATGTATGAGGAAGCTTGTACACAAAGTCCATGGTAATGTTTTCCCATTTCCACTGTGGAACGAGAAGTGGCTGCATCAATCTAAGTGGCTTTTTCCTTTCAGCTTTGACCTGCTGACAAATAGCACACCTACTTACATACTCATCAATTTCTCTTTTCATACCCGGCCAATAATAAAATGGTCGAATGGTATGATACATTTTAGTACCTCCAGGATGCATTGCATAAGCCGAACAGTGCGCTTCATCCAAAATTTCTTTCTTTAATTCCACATTATTCGGCACGTACATTCTGTTCTCCTGCATAAGCATGTCGTCAATCTCCTGAATTCTGAGATCTTTCTTTTTCCCATCATTCCTTGCCTAAATTAATTCCTGGGTTTCTTCATTATTCATCTGAGCTTCTAGCACTCGATCAATTAATATTGGCTTGACTTGAAAATTAGCAAGTAAGGTTTCCTCTCGATTTTCCACTCATAACTTTACTCCAGTGGACCTTAAATCCGCAAGAAGAGGAACATGACAAGCGTACAAAGCATTAACTCTCCCTTGAGGCTTCCTACTAATTGCATCCGCCACTACATTCGCACGACCAGGGTGATACTCAATCCTACAATCATAATCACTGAGCAATTCAATCCACCTTCGTTGTCGAATATTAAGATCCATTTGAGTAAAAAGATACTGAAGACTTTTATAATCCTTAAAGTTCTTACATTTTTTGCCATAAAGATAATGTCTCCAAATCTTCAAGCAAAGACGATAGCTGCT